CAGCAGCAGCTGCTGCTGCTGCTGCTGCTTCTGCTGCAGCAGTACCGGCACCAACAGCAGCAGCAGCAACAGCAGCAACAGCAGATCCAGAAGCAGCAGCAACAGCTGCTGCTGCAGCAGAAGCTCTATCAAAGGCGCTGCTGTCTCCCCAAATAGAACTAGCTGCTGCTGAGGGGCCCCCGGATGAGCCTGATGCAGCAGCAGCAGCAGCAACAGCAGCAGCAGCAGCAGCAGCAGGAGCAGAGTCTGCTGCTGCTGCTGCTGCTCCTGCTGCTGCTGCTACTCCCCTCAGAGGATCGATAGACAACCAAGAACAAATAGAAGCAATACCTAGGAGCGTGCTGCAGCAGCAGCTGGGGGCCCCCCCCTCTCTTTCTCTGCACTCTGGCGACAGCAGCAGCAGCAACAGCAGCAGCAACAGCTGCAGCAGAAGCAACAGCAACAGCAGCAACAGCAGCAGCAGCAGCAGCAGCAGCAGCAGCGACGAAGAAAGTGAAACTGAAATATCACCATCAACCCACAAAGACATCTCTCCTGGAGAACTGTCTCCTGCTGCTGCTGCTGCTGCTGCTGCTGTTGCTGCTGCTGCTGCTGCTGCTGCTGCTGCTGCAGCCGAGCCAAATAACGAGGCGGAGGTTGCAGAACCCCCCCATGCTGCAGCAGCAGCAGCAGAAACAGCAGCAGCAGCAGCAGCAGCAGCAGCAGACTCAGTCTCCTCAGGCAGCGTCTCCTTCTACTCTCTTGACGATGATGCGGGGCTGTCTCCTTCTCTGTCTGCTGCTGCTTCTATAGATAATATAAATATACAACCAGCAGCAGCAGCAGCAGCAGCAGCAGCAGCAGGGAGTGGAGCAGCAGCAGCAGCAGCAGCAGCAGCAGCAGCAGCAGCAGCAGCAGGCGAGGAGGAGACACCACAAAGACTAGAGGAGACATATTCTATTGAGGAGCTGAGAAGGGCGAAACGCATGCAGCAGCAGCTGCAGCAAAAGCTGCAGAGACAAATCTATCTCCTTGAGCTGCAGCAACCAGACGAACTGCTGCTGCAGCAGCAGCAGCAGCAGCAGCAACTGCAGCAGCAGCAGGAGCAGCAGGTGATGGAGCAGCAGGAAGAACAGCAGCAGCAGCAGCAGCAGCACCAGCAGCAGCAGGAGCAGGAGGCGCAGCAGCTGCAGCAGCAGCACGATCATCAGGAGCAGCAGGAGGAGGAGCAGCTGCAGCAGCAGCAGCAGCAGCAGCAGGTAGTGGAGGAGCAGGAGCAGCAGCAGCAGGAGCAGCAGCAGCAGGAGCAGCAGGAGCAGCAGGAGCAGCGGAAAGAGCAGCAGCTGCAGCAGCAGCAGCAGCTGCTGCTGCTGCGGCTGCCAGTGCCAAGCACTGCATGCACACCCCTAGACGTCGCCGGTGCTGCTGAGGACGAAGCAGCAGCAGCAGCGGCTGCTGCTGCTGCAGCAGCAACCATAACAGCAGAAGCAGAAGCAGCAGCAGCAGCAGCAACCACAACAGCAGAAGGAAACTCAGAAGAAGCAGCAGCAGCAGCAGCANGCAGCAGCAGCAGCAGCAACCACAACAGCAGAAGGAAACTCAGAAGAAGCAGCAGCAGCAGCAGCAACCATAACACCAGAAACAGCAGCAGCAGCAGCAGCAGCAGCAAGCATAACGGGAGAGCCAGCAGCAGCAGCAGCAGCAATAACAAGAGAAGCAGCAGCAGGAGCAAGCGAAACAGCAGCAGCAGCAACAGCAGAACATGGAGCAGCAGCAGCAGCAGCTGCTGCTGCTGCTGCTGCAGCAGCAAACATATGTGAGCGGGCCCTCATAGTAAAGATGGAGGCAAGCGGCGTTGCTTCAGCTGCAGCAGCAGCTGCTGCTGCTGCAGTTGCTGCTGCTGCTGCTGCTGCTACCACGCAAGAAAAAGCAGCAGCAGCAGCAGCAAAAGCAAAGAAAGCAAAAGACGAAGCAATAGATGTAGCTGCTGCAGCAGAAGCTACTGCAGCAGATGCTGCAGCAGCAAATGTTGGTGCAGCAGCAGCAGGAGGAACAGCAGCAGAAGCAGCAGCAGCAGCAGCAGCAGCAGCAACAGTAGATACCTATGGATCTGCATTCAGAGCAAGCGCAAATGCTGCTGCTGCTGCTGCTGAAGCAGAAGCAGAGGCAGCAGCAGCAGCAGCAGCAAAAGCACGGCTAGCAGAAGAAGAGGCAATCGATATAGCAGCAGCAGCAGAAGCAACTGCTGCTGCTACCGCTGAAGACGGAGCAGCAGCAGAAGCTGCTGCAGCAGCAGAANGCAGCAGCAGAAGCTGCTGCAGCAGCAGAAACTGGAGCAGCAGCAGCAGAAGCTGCAGCAGCTCACGAAGAGCAAGTGGAAGCAGCAGCAGCAGCAGCAGCAAATAGTGTAGAAGAGGAGGAGATAAAAGCGACAGATATGGGTGCCGCTGCAGCAGCAGAAGCAGCAGCAGCAGCAGCAGCACAAGCAGCAGCAGCAGAAAGAGCAGCAGCAGAAAGAAAAGCAGCAGAAATAGCAGCAGCAGTTGTTCGGTTAACCGCAAAACGAGCTGCAGCAGCAGCAGCAGCAGCAGCAGAAGCTGCTGCAGCAGCAGTACGTGCACCAACCAACAAAGCAAAGGAAGCTGTAGCAGCATACACTGCAGCAAGAGAAGCAGCAGCAGCACAAGCGTCAGCAACACAAGCTGCAGCAGCAGAAGCAGCAGCAGAAGCAGCAGCAGAAGCAGCAGCAGCACACGCTTCAGCAACACAAGCTGCAGCAGCAGAAGCAGCAGCAGAAGCAGCAGCAGCACAAGCTGCAGCAGCAGAAGCTGCAGCAGCGGAAGCTGCAGCAGCAGAAGCTGCAGCAGCACAGGCTGAAACAGCAGACGCAGCAGCAGCAGAAGCAAAAGCAGCAGCAGCAGCAGCAGCAGCAGCAAACAGTGCAGCAGCACAGGCCGTCGAGGAGGGGATGCTGTTAGTATCTTCTGCTGCTGCAGCAGCAATAGCGGGGAGGAGACAGGTATCTGAGGCAGCAGCAGCAGCAGCAGCAGCTGCTGCTGCTGCTGCTGAGATTGTTCAGAAGACAGCAGCAGCAGCAGACAACTGCCAGGAAGCAGAAGCTCGATGTGCTGCAGCAGCAGCAGCAGCAGCAGCAGCAGAAACAATGACAAAAAGAGCAGCAGAAGACGCAGCTGCTTTGCTGCTGCATGCATCTGCTGCTGAGGGGCAGCTGCATGGCACTGCTGCTGCTGCTGCTGCTTCCAGTCACGCAGCAGCAGCAGCAGCATCTGTAGCTGCTGCTGCTGCTGCTGATGTGCAGCAACAACAGCAGCAGACAGCAGCATTCAAAGAAGCAGCAAAAGCAGCAGCACTGCTAGCTGAAGATAGAGCTGCTGCTGCTGCTGCTGCAGTGCAGCAGCAACAGGAAGAAGC